GGCTCAGCCTCTAGTAGAAATGAGAACCAGGAATCTTTCTGGAGGGCAAAGAGCAGCCAGCGTAAGGCTGACAATCTCACCGCCTTCTTTGAGTCGATTGTCTAGAAAATGTGGGAGTCTCGACGTCTCACAACCCTATAGGCCTTCATGATGTGTTATACGGATAGCACCCCTGTAATTAGTTTCCTGAAATTATTGTTATAGTTCCAGATGTAAGTTTCGTTTACGATATAGATCACCTTTTTACGTCTTACCTGTAGATGTTCAGAGTGAAATGAACTTTCTTTTTCTTTTCCGTCTTGTCTGACTCATGAGTTGTCTTTGCTGTCCTCATGTCAAGCTTCCTTTTTGTTTTTCTCCTATAACATATTTTGCTTCGTGGTCGTGAGCTTTCTCATCCAAGGTTCAAGCACTATAATTAGTCCGTGTACAGATCCACAAGCCAAATCTCTCTGACTCATGACGTCTCTCTACCTCTTGAAATGCCAACTGTGGAGGTATACATATATTTGTGTGTTTTTATGAAACTGAATTCTGAATAATGTATTTAGATCGTTCGGACTGTTTGCTTTGAGGTCAAGTACACATGGATCAATGAACGCAAAACACAAGGTCACCAAGTTTATTCTAGATGTTTCTTTAGTTCTGTCTCGTATGGCTTTCGACAAAGCTTTTTACTCTCACGATTTAAGGGGTATGCATGGCTTGTAAGACGGGTTCTGGATTGGATCACTGGATTTATGAACGCCTTATGCACACAACTCGAAACTACAGGTAATTACAACGCTATCTCTGATCTACGCACTTTAGAGTTCACCGTTACACTCGCACTAGGGTTCTCAGTCTTCACTAGTTATCCTGCAACTTTCCTCAGCACGTTTATTTTGAACGCTGTAACGTATGGAGTCTCGAACGGTGGGCCACGAACTCCCACGACGTCGCGACAAACTCTATGGAAAGTGTCAAAATTATCACGAATTATTTCAATTACAGATATAGTCCACGCATAGTTTAGGAAAGTGAGTAATAATGAGTGTTCTTGAAAAAATATAACTGCGGCCGGCGAAACATTCCGCTATCTAGTTTCATGACTGTACAGGAACATTTTATAGCTTACTGTAGGTGTAGAGAGACTGTAAAGCTATTTAGGCTCTGCTGTCATTGTACAGCCTGACAGGGACCTGCAACAGTGTGCAGAACTGCACTTTTCGTGACTGTACAGGAACATTTTACAGATTATTGTGGGTGCAGAGAGGCTGTAAAGCTATTTTGGTTCCTGCTGTCACCGTACAGCCTGATAAGAATGGTCAAATAAAGTGAAAGTAATATATCTAAGTGGTAGGCTGTGTATCGGATTTGAGGTTCTCAAAGTTTAGATGTTTAGTAAGAATGTATCTCACTACACGATGTCTTAACTCAAAGACAACAACGTAATGAAAGTGGCATACATATCACTTAACGTCGGTAGTCGTGAACTTAGGGGTAGCATAATTGTTTTATGCCCATTTAATTCTTCGTCTAGTTATTTAACGACCAATATTAATCGCAGGCCGATTACAATTGAATGAAGCTCTTTCAGGATAAGCAGGGGCTTACAACTAAGCACATAAGCCTACACAAACAGAAGCGCCAGTAACCAATGCCAAATCGTGGCACGGTTACTGATTTACTAATAGAGCTGTTATAGTCTGGAACAATGATGATGATCCCTAGCACGAGCAAGAATATAGTGCTGTTGTCACATCTTCATTTTTGGATAACCAACTCTCTTTAGCCTTGATTTCTCGGCTAATTCTTCGATCTTGAGCATAGAGGAAATAGGTTCCTCCGAAACGTTGATAAACTTCTAGCAGACTACATGGCATTTAATCCCATTAGATAGTATTATGACATATAGGCAGCGACCGCAAAATAAGCAACTGTACAACAGTCGTTGCTAAGTAATGGTTCTGCAAACAATGGGCCATCCTAGGCAATGAATCTGTAACAATCACGCTTTCACCCCAAAAGACATGAACGCAACAATGGCATTATAAAAGGGGAAAGGCGTTTTCTATGAGGACCGTGCTGAGATGTTATAAGAAGGACAATTTAGGAGTTGCAGTCAGATAACCGCTGAGGTTCGGTTGTTGTGCGCTGTTGCTGTAAGAAGCTGGTAGCTGAGGCCTGGGACAGTTCGGGAACGCGGAAGAGTGTGAAAGCCGCTAGCAGACAACGTCTAATGAAGGCTGTAACAGACTGAGAAGGCCTACTGTGTCCTATAGTGATTTATTAAGTATAGTAACGAGTTGTGTAAGTGTGAAACAAATCTGATTATCTATCCAGACACGCCTCTATTCTCTAAAGCACGTGAGAGTATTCTTAAAAGTTAAATGTTGGCTCATAAATTTCTTTTATACTCTTCCGATTGGGAATTACATCTAAAACAATTCAAAATTTGTTCTTGTAAGAAATATGAGGAAAAACATATTTTAACTGCGTTTCCGTTTCGACCACTTCTGTACAAGCAACTGCATGGGAACTTCGGTTTAATAAATTTTACATCCCTTCGGTTTAAGTCTAACTTCAGATCCGATTTGGAACGACCGAACAGCTCTGAAAATGTCCGGTTCGAATCTAAAGTGAGCCGTCTGATACCCTTAATGAAGTTTACGGTGTGATTTCCATAGTTCTTCAACCGAATTCATAACAGCACAGTGACGTAAATCATGATACTTTCCTTCCCAGTCTTTCCCATCTCTTCTTCTTCTTCTTCTTCTTCTTCTCTTCACTGTATAGGCAGCCATGCCTGTTCCAACTTCACACAATCATTCCATTTTTCCTGAGGTCTTCCTTGGCCTTGGATTCTTTCGGTTTTTGTTGTAGAATCTCTTTCGGTGTTTTCGTCACACACTCTACCCAAATGGCTAATCTAATTGTGTCTGTATTAATCTGTTTCATTTTGTTCTGATTGTATTTTCAGTTATTTCCTAACGTCCCGCCTCTTCATACGGTCTAGCCTAGTGCAGCCTTTAAATGTTCCAAAGTATCTCATCTCTACTGACTGCATTCTGCTTATGTCACTCACTCATGGAGCTGAGCCCTTCTTGAGACGCCTTCAATTGTGCAACTATTCAGGAACTTCCCAGCACTTTATGGTACTCGAAGGTTCATTACTGTGTTCACAAGAGCCCTCCACTGGTCCTTATTCTGGGCCGGATAATTCCAGTCAATAACAACCCCATTCTATTTCTCTAAGATCCATGTTAATATTATCTTCCCATCTAAGTCTAGTTATTCCTAATGATCTCTTTCCTTCTCGCTTTCTCATTAAAATCCCATATATATTCCTCCTCTTCTTCATGAGAGCTACATACTCTGTCCATCTCATTGTCTTTGGCTTTATGTTTCTAATTGTTTTTGACGTGGATTACAAATTATGAAGCTCCTCAATATGCAGATTTCTCCAACCTCGTATAATTGTATTCCTCTTCGGTCCAAATATTCTTCTCAGCACCCTGTTCTGAAATATTTCAGAGACCATGTTTCGCATCCATATAGAACTACATCGATGAATTTTAAATGAACATTAAAGACCAAAACAGGAGGGAAAACAGAAGAAACTTATAAAATTCCAGCGCTACTAACTTTTCTGCATGGACACCAATCTTGGACAATTAATGCAGGAGACATAAACAGGGTGTTGAGGAGAATACCGAACAGAGATGAAGTGACAGGAGGTTGGAGAAAACTGCGTAATGAGGAGCTTCATAACTTGTACTCTTCTCCAAGTATAATTAGAATGATCAATTCAAGGAGGATGAGGTGGGAAAAACATGTAGCACGAATGGGTGAGCAAAGGAATGCATATATGATATGGTAGGAAAGCTAGAAGGAAAGAGACTACTGGGAAGATCAAGACGTAGGCGGGAGGACAATATTAAAATGGGTCTTAGAGAGATATGGTGGGATGGTATGGATTGGATTGATCTAGCTCAGAAAAGGGACCAGTGGAGGGCTCTTTTAATAACGAGACTTCTGGTTCCATAAAATGTCAGGAAATTCTTGAGTAGTTAAGCAACTGGTGGATTCTCAAGAATGACTCAGCTCAATGGGTTTTCTTAAAATTAATCTCAGTCCTCTCATTTTACGCCAAATAGCATCTGTAGCTGATAGAGCGTCGTTAATTAATCTCCATACCTAGTAATACCGAGATGGGCAACAAGTCATATTTATACGAGTACACCCTGTCTCACAGCGGAGGAAACCGTTGAAACCTGAAGAGGCACGCAACCTTCCTCAGGGCTGGTAATGGAATGCATGGTGAAGGAATTTATGTGACCAGAAGGGCTGACAATGCTTTCGCGTGTACCAATCGCTGACTGCAACGAAGAAAATAGATTTCGTTACAGGCCACATTCAAAATATAATTTATAAATAAAAATAATATTATATTTCAGCAACATGTTTCACTGAAAGTGCAACTTCTTATCGTGTTCACAGGCCGTCGGTGTGTTACTTCGTCACTCTTTTTTTAAATGTTACTCCAACTACATGTTTCGACCGTATAATGTCATCATCAGGTAGATATTCTTACGTAATTACTGCACTGTAGAAACGACATTTGTAAAAGAGTGACAACTTAAGCTTTTATATTCACGTCATTGTAATGATATTGTACGTAAGTACTGATAATGACTAATCACATTGTAATAGTAGTTTCCTCTTGTATTGATATGTCCTTCTGAATATGGCCGCTCCGACCGAAACATGTAAAGGATGAAAGATTAAGAAGGAGAAAATACATTTATCAGTCACACTGGACGGTGTTGATAATCTTTTACATTGGCACACGAATAGTGTATGAACACCACAGGAAGTTGCAGTGTTCTAGGAGGAATTTGGAGGGTAAGAAGGAAGTGCATATGCATGCCTGTACTCGGTTGTACAGGATGATTAAGGAAATGGTTGCGTGGCTACTGAGAAGTGGTTGCAGAACCTGAGCGGATGTTTTGTTGCAGTCCACTCGCTGCCGAACCTCACGGTCTTGTCGCTTTCCGGCTGCAGCAAGATCACAGATGATGGAGTGGAGCTGATCGCTGAGAACTTGCAGAAGCTGCGGAGTCTGGATCTCTCCTGGTGCCCCCGCATCACTGACGCGGCCCTGGAGTATATCGCCTGTGACTTGAATCAGCTGGAGGAGTTGACGCTCGACAGGTAAGCCGAGGCATGAACTTGGAGGAAGGAAAAGGGGGAACTGATATAAACTTGGCCAGGACTGTGGAGAACTGAGGGGGAATAGAAAATCAGATTGTGGGTAAGCTGTTGGGGAGGGTATATAAGTGAATAGAATAGAATAAGGAGGGAGAAGGAAAAGCGGGAAAGAAAAACCGTGTATCTAGGACTGATAGGAGAATTTATTAACAACTGAAGAATGTAATTTAGAGAGATAAATGTAGAGAGACAAAGTGAGAAAAGACAGAATATAAGAAGGGGAAGAAAGTAGGGGAGATGGTCTATAATCTGGGAAATGGGAGATGAAAATGCCGATACAAGTGAGCAAAACGAAACTTCTGACAGAGGAACTGAGTAAGAGAATAGAAGAAGGAGGAGAAGAATAAGGATGGAAAGAAAAATGTAGGGTAGAAAAAGAGGAGAGATTAAAATGAAAAGACGCTAAAGAAGCATAAGGAAATAATGTGAATTATAAGGAAAAGTGTGATTGAATGAAGAGGAGGATAAAAAAACTCCGTCCACAAACGATCTATACCGACCGAGCTGCCGCCGCTTGCCGGTGAAGTTAGTGCCAACTTTAGCGGATAGAGAGCGTCGCGTGGTCAGCGGAACGAATCCCCACTGCCGTTAATTTCGGTTTTCTGGACCGAAGAGAAGGGTAAAAGGTAGGATTTAAGGAATGTGGAAAGGGAACATTATTTCGGATAATATTCAGGAAGGGAAGCTTAGGAGAGCTGTGGCGGAGATAATAGTATCGATGGGAATTAAGGGAAAATGAATGAGGTCAAAATGAGAATATAGAAATATGTGGTGCAGGTTAATGCTGAGAATTATGTGTGTATGAAAATCGTAACAAACAAGGAAAATTGCATTCAATATCAGCTGTGATAACGAGCATGGAAGAGCAGAGATTAAATTCGACAATACCCGTAAATTGGGGAGTAGTCTGTCTATTTTGGGTGCGCAGTGCCTGATGGAGTGTAGAGGCACATAATTCTTGTACGAGCCTTCTAATTGAGATACTAAGAACAAAGGTCCCCTCGGTCATCAAATTAGATTGAAAGTTGTAGCACCCCACGCCCCCAGACTAAGAGGTCTAGAATGTAAAAGACAACTTATTTTACAGGAATTCAGGTAAAAGAGAGGATTAAAATTTGAAACAGCGGTAGAAATTTGGAGAATGGGAGAGTAAGGACGGTATAGAGGCAGAGGAAGTGTAACGAACCGATCACGGTGGCCGCGCGGTCTAAGTCATGAACCGTCTTCGCTCACTGGAACACTGGGATCGTGGGTTCGAATCCCATTCAAGGCATGTATGTCTGTGTGTGTTTATTCTGTGTTTGTGTTAATTAGCGGCCTTGTGACGGGCTGATCATCCGTCCATAGGGTCATAACGATTGTGTATGGAATTAAGAAACTGAAAAAGAGGCCAAGGTTCAACAAAGGGCTGCAGAACCAGGGGAACAAAAGGGGAAAAGGAAGTGTAATGTTAAGGAAACGAATAATGAATATGGTAAATAAGTTCTGAGGAACAGGAACAATGTATAACGAAAAAACAATAAAGCTGACGTGAGATAAATCAGAATTTTCATATTTTCGTTGTAACAACGACAGAGAAAAGAAAAGGAGCGGCAGAATCAGGTGATAGAGGGGGGGAAAGAGGTGATGAGTTAACAAGAGAAGATGAGAAATTGGGGGGAGTAAATTGCTCACTTTAATAAGATTGGCTTCCAAAATTGTACATCTTTACAGCCCAAAACACTCCAGTTAATCGAAACCCCCGAGCTTAACTACTGAGGTACCCTATAACAAGGGGAATAAGGGCAAAGAAACGTAGGGATGCATGAAAATAGGATCATCAAAAGTTCCCCTAGTTTACGTGCGTTTCGGGTAGTCGTATCAAGCAGGAGCAGTGACACTGTGAGTCAACGCCGTTGAGCTTTATTCAGATATACTGAGCTCTGTAATGGTAACAGAACTGAAACAAATGAACAAGAACCAGTTGAAAAACACTTATTATACGTATACTGAGCACCTGTAAGGAATGGTTAGATTGCATGTCTTACTCGCCTGCCAGAGATGTTGCCTATCCTGCACGGCTCTGTATAAGAAACTCGAAGCAAATTATTATTTCAATTTCCGTTCTCGCATTTCCTTTTTTATATAGTCATACTTCTGTACTATGGGCCCTCGATATAACGCGCCTCATTATACCGCGACGGTGATCGTGTCTTCCATTACAATTATATATGTTTTATGCCATACATATTTCTATGAAAAGTTCTAGTCATATAAGACTGCATTACAGCATTTCCTCCTGTGATGTTCAGGTAGAGAGCGTAAGGTCCATAGTCCGGTTTGAATACACTGTATGTTTCTAGTTGCTCCAACTTGAATACTCTCCTAAGGAGGCATAAGTGTAATTGCCAGTAGCGTATGTGAAACGTAAGTCTGAAATGTACCTTAATTTCATGTAAGAGGGACTATAGACGGGGTTTGGATTGTTAATTAGATTTATTGAACACTTAAGAGATCGTAACTACAAGTAACTATAGCGCTATCGCTAATTCACACACCCTTAAATTCACTACAGCACATACTAAGACTTCTCAGTTTGCTGTATCTTCACAAGTCGTTGCCTGGTAGCGGCTTTCAACGGCGGACGATCCCCTTACTCTGTGTTCCCGAACCATCCACGTGCCTCAGTTGTCAGTTTCTAACAGGAACGGCTCACAAGGACTGAATCGCAGCAGCCCTTTGCTTGCTCACGAACCAACTCACTTCACTCCACTGTACTCAACTGCACGCACTCCACTAACTGTCCCTGCTTATAGCATATAGACACGGATCGCACAGAAAACATTGCTATTCTGTTGTTATATCCATTGTTGCGTGCACAGTTATTTCAAGGATTTGAGAGGCAATAGTGATGATATTGATGATGAGAGCGATTTATTATATAAGCCTTTGGGATGGCTTCATGTGGCATGACATACATACCAAGTTTCATTAAGACTGCTACAAGCGTTCAAGCAATAGTAAGGTTTTGCTTCGGTAATTTGAGAGGCTGAAATGTTGCTATTATGTATAGGAGGGATTTATGAAGTACCCCATTGAGATGGCTTCATATGGCATGATATACATACCAAGTTATGTGATGATAGATTCAGGCATTTAAGTGATGTTATGGTTATTACCTCAACAATTTGAGAGGCTGTAGTGTTGGTATTATTAATGGAAGGGATTTATGAAGTATGTCGTTGAGATGGGCTCAGATACCATGATATACGTATCAAATTTCACAAGGTTTGATTAAGGCATTCAAAAATTGATAGGGTGGATACACACGCAGCCAGCAAGGTGATCTCATAAGCCCATTTTTATTTCTTCCAAAATAAGAATAGTAGGCTAAAGAAGAGATAGGGTAATAAGCGGAATGATATAGAGAAAGGGCGGCAATGCGAACAGCAGGAAGCTTATTGATTTCAATAACAGATGGTTCTGCCTTCGTGGAAATCCATAGGCTGCCATTATTAGCCAGGGGGTTCCCGTAAAGTTGTAAAGCGAAGTGAAGCTAACGCCGCCTGGTTACCTGGTATAATACCTTTTGTCCCTTCATCTGAAGTGAACCTATCCTGCTTCCGTTGCCAGGGCAATAGAACAAGATTTGTCGCCCTCTGAAACATCGGAGGCCCGCATCAAATGAAGCAGACTCGAGAGTAAGGTGAGATTCAGTAGAAGAAGGACATATGTCACGTGTTGTAGAACTTGCATAGAGCAGCTAGCCCTATACTCGTAAAGGTAAAAAGGTGAAAGTGCCCCTGTGCTTAATTAATTAAGCACTATGCCATGAAGTGGAAGTATAGCTCCAACCTTGTTGACCTCAGCACTAGATGGAGGTGAGTGGTTAAATTCACTCGTTATTCGCTTTACTTCCTGGAATAAAAGCCCCCAGCAAACATCAGAAATGAGACTGGTCGGGCCAAATAGCTAGTATAGACGCTGTGGAGGAGAGAAGAGTCACTTTTCCTGCCGGGAATCGAACTGTAGCCCGTCGCTGTACTGACTGAGCTATCCTGGCCAACACTAATGATTATGTAGTTCAGAGAACACCAAGAATGTCGGGAAAATATCTCCGAAACGTTGGGCTTTATCTCTTTCAGTGTGAAGACCGTGATTATCGATCAACGTCATGAGAGCCCATAAATCCCGTTACTAAAAGTCGCTTGGTGTTTCGATTTATTTATCGACTTTACTGAAGGAAGTAAATGGACTTTTTAATGTTTGTCATAATTTGGTCGTCGCAACTTATAAATACGCCCTAAGGGAGCTTCAAAACAAAACAAAAAACCTCCTGGCCTACAGTCCGCAAGCGAACTATACCGACCGAGCGACCGCCGCTTGTCGGCAAACTTAGTGCCAACTTTAGCGGATAGAGGGTGTCGCGTGGGCAGCGCAACGAATCCCCGCGGACGTTAATTTCGGTTTTCTAGATCGGAGCCGCTATTTCCTTGAAATAGCTCCTCAGTTATCCTCGCGAGGCTGAGTGGACCCCGTTACAGACCCACTACTTCTCAGAAAATCTGGTAGCGTCGGGAATCGAACCCAGATCTCTGGATCTGTCGCCAGGAACTCTGACCACTAGACCACAGAGGCGGTCCTTAGTGCCACAGTCATACGCTGTCCGATATATCCGAATCCTTTGTATCTAGGTTCGTTACAACGAGGGTTTGCTATATTGTAGTGTGTGTATTGGCTGCCTCCTTACTTATGGGTATTCTTTACTTGGGAATTTCGTGTGTAGTAGTCGTTTATATTTTGAAAAATAAAATGTCGTTTTGAAAATGCCAAATGACAAATATGGAGAGAAATTAAGTTAAAAATTTATCCCTGTGCTTAACTAATTAATCACTACACCATGAAGGGTTATGGAGGATTTAATGTATATATCCAAATTTTCTTGATCTGGGCACTAGCTGGAA